ATCTCATGGTTGGTGAGTTCGAGTCCCTCGTGGGGTTCAGTACTGATAGTCCGAGCCTGTTTGAGATTCTCTCTCTCTTCCTCTCTCTCAGCCCCTCCCATGCACACTCACATGCACTCTCTCTCTCTCCCCCCCTCAAAATAAATAAATAAACTTAAAAAAAAAAAAGAAATTACACCACAGAACGTTGGTTTCTGAGGATCCATACCCCACCCTCCCAAGGAAAATGAAGATCCAAAAGCCCTTCCATGTTCCCTAGGCAGTCAAAGACATCCAAATTTGCTGGGTGTCATTGAATAGTCTATGCAATTAATATCCACCTTCTCTGCTCATGTCCCAGAGACACTACACTTTCAGGAAAGTGAGAGGCTGCTGGTGAAGCCTGTGGCATTTTCTTAGTTGAAGAACCTCATCAACTTTTCTCTCTTTCTGGCCCCCTCTGACTTCACTCAGAAATGCACTGTTGGGGGCGCCTGGGTGGCGCAGTCGGTTAAGCGTCCGACTTTAGCCAGGTCACGATCTCGCGGTCCGGGAGTTCGAGCCCCACGTCGGGCTCTGGGCTGATGGCTCAGAGCCTGGAGCCTGTTTCTGATTCTGTGTCTCCCTCTCTCTCTGCCCCTCCCCCGTTCATGCTCTGTCTCTCTCTGTCCCCAAAATAAATAAACGTTGAAAAAAAAAAATTAAAAAAAAAAAAGAAATGCACTGTTGAAACTATGTCTCTTACATGCCAGGGTGTACATCTGGTCACTGGAGAACCCACACACATCCCAGGTGAGCGAGTCCCAGCTGAGCAGTCCACCTCAAGGCCGGCTTTGGGGAATTACCCTGTTATAATATATGCAGACCCTTGAGACTCTAGAGCACGAGCTGAAAATTCAGACCATGCAAGGTAAGGTTCTTTAACTCATTTGAGTCGCCTTTATCACAGACAGGTTTCTAGATAACCATTGGCACACAAAGCCAGCCACATCTGGACTGGAAATAAAAGGGGGGAATGGTTATGGGAAGGGTCAATACAACAGGTCTGAGCCATCTCTCCTTAGAAGTACCGCCCGCGGGCTTGGCCCTGGGCTGGCATCGAGGAAATTGGCGGGCAAACAATTCTCCGCACTGATGTAAAACTTCCCCTAAATTATAAGTGACTCACTGCACATAAACTGTTGAAACAATGTGGTGATGCCAAACACCTGCTTTATTTGGGGGAGTCTGGAATTTTGGGACATGCCGGGCAGAGGGTGCCTAGATGACCATCCCCACGCGAAAACCCTGGGCACTGAGTCTAATGCTTCCCTAGTTGACATTTCGCCTGTGCTGTCCCAACCCATTATTGGAGGAGTTAAGCACATCCTCTGTGACTCCTCTGGAAGAGGACTTCTCCCCATGCACGTTTTCCCTTTTTTGTCTCTACTGTGTGATCCTTTTACTGCAATGTGGTCTTTGGCTGTGAGTATGACTATGTAAGTCCTGGGAGTCCTTATGGCAAGTCGGCAAACCTGACGGGGTCGTGGACACCCCCAACACAAAGACTATCTCCTGCTTCATAAATTTCCATATGAAGGATGTTCTTAAGGATTTCTACCAAAATCCAAGAAAACTTAGCCCCATTCTATTCTGTAAGGGAGAGAGTCATAATTTTATTTATTTATTTATTTATTATTATTATTATTTTTATTTTTATCCTAAGCCTTTCTAACGTGCTCCATCCTTAGTTCGGGGCGCTAAACTGCCTACATGTTTTGACGGATTGCACCTTGCATTTATTCGGCCTGCCCTTCGGATTCCTTGCCTTCTCCCTTCTGTCCCCTCTGTCCCCAATGCTGGTGGCAGGCCCTGTTCTGTTTACTCATGTGGACACGTTTCTCTGAGCTCTTGACCTTGAGTTACCCGCTTAATGTTGATTTTCGCAACCCTCTGCTTTTACACGTGTCCACAGCACCGGATGGGAAGATGTTTTCACTACTTGTTCTTAATCATTGAGCCATTCAGTGTCTTCTCAGCTCAGCTGGCCTCCCTAGAAGGGGAACCAATCAGGCAAAAGCCATGATCTCAGTCAAGTATATTCTTTGTGTGGATCTGTTACTTTCATGCTCCTTATTTATGTATGTAAGCTGAAAAGAATTTTAAATCAATATATAGCAGAGGTTAGAAAACTCTGAGTAATACCTAAAATTACCTTTTTTTCCCTCACTCTTAACTACTGAGAATCCCTGATAAATTAAACATCCACATGCAACAATATTATTCCATCTTAGTAACTTACAAAAAAGGAGTAAGAAAATATCTGAATTCTTCATATCCTTACTTTGAAAGGTCTATTCTGAAAGAAAAAAAAATTTCAAGAGAATGTACTAGATTTTAGCTCCTGAATGCTGGAATATGTTTAAATTTTTTGCACTCTTACACTTCCGTGAATCTTTCGAGTGGAAGGAAGTAAGAGGTACCATTCAAGCGATGTGAATATACTATACTAAAACTGAAATTCTTGAAGCACAAATTCTGCTTCTGTGGCTTAATCATGTGTCACATTGCAGGAGTCAGTCGTAAGTGACTGGTATTCGAGAGCAGATGGGGAAGCAAAAGACTTATGACCCAGCCTCAGATCTGTTAACAAATGCTGAGAAAACCATCTTGCCATTTACCCTGATTTTACCGCAGAGGCAGGCAAAACCCAGTGCCCCAAGGGTGTTCCCAGGACAGTGGTGATGCAGAAAACACCAGCATAGGAGATGTGAGTTACACATGAACTCTTAGGGGGTCTTTCTGCATTTAAGTTGCTAATTTAAGGTATGCTTCACTCTAAATTAGATAATTAACAGTCGGTAATTTTTGTGACAGTTTTCCTGGGAAAGATCCCAAGTGATTCCTGACACAAAGATCCTTCGAAGGAAGCAGTGAATAGATCGTGTCTTCCTTCTCTCCAACAAGATAAAGAGCCAAAACTTTAGCCAGGCTACAAGCTGTGTTTCTTCACTTTCTGTCTTCCTTGAGCTTTTTGATACAGATGTGGATACAGAGCCCTCTCTGTACTTGACCTTGCATTTCCCCTTCCTCCTTTCAGCTTAAGGTGAACTTACAATTCTTCTAGAATTATAAGCCTAAAATCAATGTTTTTAAAGTAAGAATTATTATGTGTGTAACATCTTGTAACAGTTATTTAACAGTTTGGGGAGAGTTGCTGGAATAAAACATAGATGACAGATATTGGGGGATCTATCTTGACCATTTACCTTAATTCTTTCAGAAATAATTCTTGGTAAATCTCTTCTCTAAAGTTGGGTTTTCTGGCCACGTAATCTTGACATATTACATGTACTCATTAGGCTTGATTCTGATTGTAAGAGAAGAACCCCCTGTTGGGGAACTTATAATAGAGGTAGAACTCAGGCACTGGGCAGGTAAGTGGTAATTGAACAAGGTGTGTCCGTGCAGGCTATAGAATGTTCGTAGGTATTCAGGGCAAGACTCCCAGGTAGTAAATTGGATAGTCAGGCTGAACTCAGAGGTAGATACCATGGAGACTCTCAATCCTGTCTAGGATGGGGACAAGAGTGGAAAGGGGATATTGTAATTTGAGGCTACATCTGGCTGAGAAGCCACTAAGGGGGGGCCTAAGGAGCGAAGCTGCCATAGCTGGGTCCCAGATCCCAGTTGGGGATCTTGGATTAACTATGCCCCCCTCCAGGGCATAGGGGTATTCATACACTGATAATCTTTCTTACCGCCGTCAGGATTGTCTAAACACCTGCAGAGTTGACCCTGTAGGTTATAGGGAGGTGGGTGGGAGGGGCACGTGTCCCAGCCTCAAGGAGCTCGGAAACAGAAAACCAGAGGGAGAAGATGTGGTGAGACAGAGGGCTGACATTAAATGCCTGTTTTTATTTTCTGTTTTAAAACAAAATATCCACGATTCTGTGAGGCAAATGAATCACATCTCAAAAATTTTATAGAAGGATAATTACAAATCTAAAAAATAATCCTACAGGTAAAAAGTGAGTTGTTCTGGGGGCGCCTGGGTGGCTAGATTAAGTGTCTGACTTCGGCTCAGGTCATGATCTCACAGTTCGTAGGTTTGAGCACTACGTCGGGCTCTGTGCTGACAGCTGGGAGCCTGGAGCCTGCTTAAGATTCTGTCTCCCTCTCTCTCTGCCCCTCCCCCCTCCAAAATAAATAAACATTAAAAAAAATTTTTTTTTTGATGAGTTGTGTTAGACGCCTGGGTGGCTCAGTCAGATAAGCGTTCGACTACTGTTCAGGTCATGATCTCTCGATTTATGAGTTCGAGCCCCGCGTTAGGCTCTGTGCTGACAGCTGGGAGCCTGGAGCCTGCTTAGGATTCTGTCTCCCTCTCTCTCTGCCCCTCCCCTGCTCTCTCTCTCTCTCTCTCTCAAAAATAAATAAACATTTGAAAAAATTTTTTAAAAAGAATTGTTTTTAACTCAACTATTCTGTGGACTTTATCAAATGTTTGAAACTTCTTTTCAATTCATTTGCATCTGTAATGAGTTACTCATAATCATATGGTGAGTACTATCTTAATGCAAATGTTAATTCTGAAAATTTTCAAACTCAAATAATTTCCTATTATTGAACGATTCCAACTACTCATTCTGTAGAACATAGAGGAGCCTGTAGCACCAATCTTTTCCCATGGATTAAACACATGTTGCTGCTTGCATTGTATAAACTACCCGTCGTAACACCTGAATCACGTAGGCACTCCATAAAAGATAGCTACTCGCATTGGCCCTGCTAAAAGTCAATTTTCATCGAAACATCGATTTTGAAAGTAAAGACTACTTGCTTTCAGTTGTCGTGGTTACACTTTTTCCCCCGAGCTTCGGTGTAATAATCACATTTAACTAGAACAGAGCCTTGAGTTACATATTGTTTAAAAATTAATGCCACGGGTTATATGAAGAAACAATGAGTGTACGAGACAGAAAGATGTTAGACCTACATTTCCGAGTGGAATGTAAGTGACTTCAGAGATCACCTGTAAATATAAACATATCAAGTTCATTGTTTAATGTATTTGCTATTACCAGAAGTAAAAGAATGACACAAGGTTTGGGGAGGAGGGGAAGAGTAAGCAATAGAAAACTCAGCCAGAAACACGCCCTCAGGGGCAAAGCCCTGGGTCTAAGAGCTAGATGTGAATAGCCCTGCCACCTGCAGATAAGACATCCTGCCCTCTGGCGCCTGGGAAGGCATTGCTTCAAGGTTGCAAAGTGACAGCATGGGAGGTGGTTAGAAGCCCTCTGGTCCCATTTATGCACTGGAGGCTCAATATTCAACCAATTCACTGCCAACCCTACAAAACAAATGTTGGCTGTAGCTGAAAAACTGGTTATGGCAAAAAACCTAAGAATACAGGAAAGGCTGATTCCCCCACGCTGTCCTTCTGCATCACTTCACGTGGCTCTAGCTCTCTCTACCTTTAGAAACTCTCTCTGAACGTCTCTCTGAACGAGGCTCATTAGGGTCACTTTATGGCACATCTATTTACAAGCCTATTGTGCGCCGAGCATTGTGCTAACCCACTTCACCTCACTTCCTAGAGCAAAACAATTCCAGTCCCATAGCTCCTGGCTTACCGCCCCGCGGAGGAGAGTGGCTTTAAACAACAAATAAATGATTGGAAATTAGTGTAAGTGCCGTGAAGGCAAAGAAGAGGTTGCTGAGAGAGATTGTAAAAGAGGCTGGCTGTTTAGGAAGGCCTGTAGGGAATGCTTTCAAGCTGCCTTAACTACAAGAAAGGGACCGTGAACCAGAGTGGTTTCACAGTAAGGACATCTCTCCTCGGACCCATCTAACTCCTTCGAACCCACAAAGAGTTAGAGCTTCATGCTGGGGGATTCGGTGCCCAACCGCGTCCTCAGGAGCTTGGTTCTTCTTTCTGCTCTGCTGCCCAAAGTGTCTGTTTCCTTCTAAACCCGGGTCTTCTTAGGATCATGTCTCAGACAACATAGAAATCTGTCTTTCTCTCATTTAGCGATGGTTGCAACTTGAGGATTAGTTGCATTTCCTTGACATGAGAGGAAAAGAAAAATAAGCTTAGAGACTAACTTCTGCCCTTCAGGCTGAGCCACCTTGTAGAAAGACCGCTAGTTTTCCAGCAACATCCATCATGCTCAGGTTTCGGCAGGGCACCGGGCCACCGGGAATAAAGATTACGTTTCTCATGTTCCCTTGTGACTGTGTGTGGCCTGGTGACTAGGGTTTAGCAATGGCAGGTAAATGGGGGTAATTTGTGTCATTTCTGAGATCTACTCTTCCAGGGAGGGAGCACGCCTTTCCCAGTCCCGTCTTCCTTCCTGTGGCTTCAATGTGAATATGATGACTGAGCATCTCCAGGCACGTGTTGAAGATGCATCCTGAGTGCCTGACACCCGTGGCAGTAGCGGCCGTGACCATCCCCCCACCCCCTCACTGTTTAGCTTGCTCAAACCACCTCTGAGCATGTTTTGTGCTGCCTGCGTGCAGCGCCCAGGGAATGCACTGTCCCTAAGTCACTGGCCAGAGAGAGCAATGCCGTGTGCTGATGGGCTCATTCAGTCAGTGCTCTTCCCCGGACTAAGGATGTGGTCAAGAGTTTCCGAGCGCAGGGGTCTCATGAGGTAGGGGCAGGATGAAATCAAAGAGTGGTTAGGAAGGAGGAAGCAGGGAAGATTGCTGAGCAACTGACCAACAGTGACCACTACCGATTAGTGACCCAGGCCAAGAGAGAAGGGCTGGATCACGCGGCGTGAAAGTAGGTGTGGGGTCTCCGAAAAAGAATCGGCTTGGATGTGGATGTGTTCACAGAACTGAAAGAAAGTCAGTATGATACATGAATGGGAGAAATGACGTAAGACAAGGCAGGACCCTACTGCAAAGCTGTATCCATGTTTGCCCAGGACTGTCCTGGCTTAACCTATCGTAATAGAAAAATTGAAATAGTATTTCCTTTCACCTTCCAAAATGTCCTGGTTTGGGTAATAAATCCCAAGAGTATGCTGTAGATACAGCCCATGTGAAAGAACGTGGACTGTATTCTAAATACAGTGGGATGTGGTCTTTATCCTTGTTCTGTCTTAGTAGAGACATCAGGCTTTCACAGCTGTCCCAAACTTTATCTTCTGGCTCCTCCCCAGGTCAAGCTGGAAAATGTTTCCCGAATTGGCTCCCAAGGTCATCTAGCCTCAGAGAACAGATAAAAGCCCCTCCCTGCCTCTTCTGAGCCACGTGACATTTCCTACAAGATTGCTTCTCTCAGCCTAGATTTCTTTTTTTTTTAATAAATTTTTAGAGTTTATTTATTTATTTTTAAAAGAGAGAGAGAGAGAGAGTGTGTGTGAACAGGGGAGGGGCAGAGAGAGAGGGAGAGAGAGAATCCCAAGAAGGCACCACACTCGGCACAGAGCCCCATGCGGACCCCCGTCTCACGACCCTGGGATCGTGACCTGAGCCAAAACCAAGAGCCAGATGCCCAACCGACTGAGCCACCCTTGTGCCCCATCTTAGCCTAGATTTCTAATCCAGCAATACGACTATTATATAAGGAATCTCACTGTGTTGTTGGAAAACCTATTTCTAGGTTTGAAATATTTTTGCTTACCAGAATGGCACTACCAAACAGTCTAGCAATTCCAGCTCTAGGTATGTATCCCAAGAAAACAAAAACACCAGAATGTGCACTCCTATGTTTATTGCAGCATTATTTACAGTAGCCAAGATCTGGACGCAACCTAAGTGCATTCAGTAAATGAAGGCATAAAGAAGGTGTGGCATGTATATACAATGGAATATTACTCCGCCATAAAAAAGAGTGAGATCTTGCCATTTGTGACAACGAGGATGGACTGGAGGGTAGTAAGCTAAGTTACATAAGTCAGACCGAGAAAGATAAATACTGTAAGATCTCACTTATATGTGGAATCTAAAAAACATAATGAGGGGCGCCTGGGTGGCTCAGTCGGTTAAGCGTCTGACTTCCGCTCAGGTCACGATCTCGTGGTTTGTGAGTTTGAGCCCCACATCAGGCTCTGTGCTGACAGCTCAGGGCCTGGACCCTGCTTTAGATTCTGTGTGTCCTTCTCTCTCTGCCCCTCCCTCATTTGCGCGCTCTCTCTCTCTCTCAAAAATAAATAAACATTCAAAAATTAAAAATAAGTAACATAATGATAAACAAACAAAACAGAAAACAGATTCATAGATACAGGAAACTGCTGATTACCAGAGTGGGAGGGGTTGGAGGGCGTGCAAAAGAGGTGAAAGGGATTGAGAAGCATAAACTTGCTTTTCTGAAATGAGTAAGTCAGGGGGATGTAATGCATAGCACAGGGAATATAGTCAATAATGTTCTAATAACGTGTGGCGACAGATGGTAACTAGATTTGTCATGGGGATCATTTCATAACGTAGAAAAACATCTAATCACTATGATGTACACCTGAAACTAGTAGGATCTTGAATGTCAACTATACTTTAACTTAAAAATAATGATAAATAAGTATTCTTGCCTCTGGCACTTCTTACCTTGAGACTGATCTTGTAGCCATCCAGTCTGCTGAAAATTCTTCTGTCTACTTTTTGACCTTGGACAGGTTATTATACATTCCCTGAGTCTCTCTTCTGTATCTGTTTCTACATTTACTTGTAAAATGGAGCTGTTACCCGATAGGGGCTGTATGAGTCCTATAGGGTTGCCATGACAAAACTGGATTTTCTTATGGCAACTGGGTCTCTCAAACAACCAACTGGGTGGCTCAAACAACACACATTTATTTTCTCACAGTGCTGACGTCTTTACGCCCAAGATCAATGTGTAGTCAAGGTTAGTTTCTGGGAAGGCCTCTCTTCCTGGCATGTAGATAGCTGCCTTTTTTTTTTTTTTTTTTTTAATTTCTTTTTTGAGAGTGAGAGAGCACAAGCAGGGGAGGGGCAGACAGACAGGGAGAGAGAGAATCTCAAGCAGGCTCCATGCCCAATGTGGAGCCCAACACAGGGCTTGGTCTTGCAAACCGTGAGATCATGACCTGAGCTGAAATCAAGAGTCAGGCACTCAACCAACGGAGTCATACAGGTGCCCCGAAGGCTGCCTTTTTGCTGTGTCCTCCCACGGCCTTTCCCTGTGTGCCAAGAGAGCGAGAGAGATCATGTCTCTTCCCCTCCTTGTAAGGACACTGTTCTTACCAGACTAAGGCCTCCCCCTTGTGACCTCTATTAATCTTTATTACCTCCTCACAGGCCATATCTCTCCAAATACAGTCTATTGGGGGTTAGGGCTTTGACATATGAATTTTGAGAGAGACATAATTCAGTTAATAACAGGGTTATTATGAGTAACAAATGAGATACTGCATGAAATGAGATACTTGGAATAAAGTTTTATATTCCATATTTTGATATATTTTAGGATACAGAGAACCATAGAGATCTCTATGTATCCTAAATTTAAATTATAGTGCTCAATAAATGTTATCGGCTACCATTATGGTTATTATTTGGGTTTTTTCCCCCCTAGGACTAAACTTTTTCATTTCATCCCTGCCCATCTCCTCAACTCAATCTTTGTGTCAAGCTTGTGTCCAAGCTCTTAGCCATTAGGATAATCATGTACCAAACGGACTTTGATGAGTCGCTCTTCATCCAAATCAATGATTCGGACATGTAAAATTTGGCATTGCAGGTTATGCAGTCTGGAGGAGAACAAAAACTTAGAATACGAATACGAGGTAGTTGCTTTATTGCGACCAAGGTAGAGTACAGCAATATATACAAAATTAACTGGGAAGGAAACGGTGTCTTTGACACAAGTCATACTGAGTTTTACTTGAAATAATAATCCAATACAAGCAGCAATAACACTCAGGATTATTGGCATGATCTGTAGATTCAGAAAAGGAAAAGGTCCTAACTTTATATCTGTGACTTTGGAAGAGCTGACACAATTATGATATATGCAATTTTGCTATTTTATTATAAACTATATTCATCTTATTCATCATCTCCGGGTTTTAAATAGTAACTTCCTGCAAAGTAGTTAAATACTATTTTAATTCCCATTAAATATATTGCAGATTCATTCCAAATGCTAGAGCAGATAATCTTGTGCCTCCAATGTAAAGTATAAGAGCCAAGATATTCTAGAGCTATGGTTCCCAAATGTTGCTTCATGAATTGGCTATATAAAAGAATCATCCAAGATATCTGTTTAAATATAGTTCTCTGGGCCCCAATGAATCAAATCTCTGAGGATGATACCCCGCAGACCTCTCCCTCAAACCAGGCCTGTTGGAGGGTCCTAGCTTTGTTAACAGCTAAAGCTCATGACCCAGCGTGAGGAGCTAGGTGATACCCTACCTACCATATTGAGTTGTAACTCCTGATTTTCTTGCGTTTTCTAAGTGTTTCATGGAAAATAATTTGAATCCTACCAGAATTCCAGTTTATACTTTTTTAAATATTTATTTTTGAGAGAGAGAGAGAGAGAGAGAGAGAGAGAGCACGAGTGGGGGAGGGGGAGAGAGAGGGGGAGACACAGAATCTGAAGCAGACTCCAGGCTCCGAGGAGTCGGCACAGAGCCCGACGTGGGGCTCAAACACATGAACCAGGAGACCATCGCCTAAGCCAAAGACAGACACTTAACCGACTAAGCCACCCAGGCACCCCAATGAAAGCCAACCCAGTGCCTGAAACGCTAAAATTGCTGGAGTTTATACCTATAGCTGGACACACGCACTAAACTTCTCTACAAATTAGGTAGGCACTCACTCACTCAGCGTTGCAGCTCACTGAAAAATAGCCATGATCAAAGCATGTTCAGCAATGTAAAACTGTAGAATCTCCATATGGAATATTTATTTGGGATCCAAAATACTCTGGAATGAGTAAGAGGTAGTGGGGATAGATGCTTATTCTCTAATTTGTTGCACGCTATTATCGGGCTTCTAAGAGAGTTTTTGGCTGCTTCAAATGTTTACCATTTTATGAGTCATTTTCCTGCTCACTTTCATAATGCATTTTCAGATGTGAACTAACCACTACTATTTTCAGTAGAGCTATATTTAGTATAGATCTCAAAATGAGAAATACCTCTTAGTGCCTGTCATAGTTGCCTAAGTAAAATCAAAATATTTAATGATGTCAAATGATGGAAGGCAACTTTTTAGATAATGTGGTATAAGAATAGCTAAATTGTCATTTTTATTTGTAGCCTACATTCAGCCTACATAATGCCTTTGTTCAGTCAATGTGTTATGAGAATTAAATAAGATATTGTGCCTTTAAATTATTTGGAAACTATTATATACGTATACATAGTTATAACATATAATATATTAATATATAAAATATATAATATCTATATATTCAAATGCAATACATATCTATCTATCTAAATGTAAGCTAACAGAATTATTATTCCTTAAACATAATTGTATATTATTAGACTGGTCAAAACAAACCATAATAATTTTTCAGTTAAACCAACCATATTAAGAGTGTGTGTTTTCAATATCTGACTATTATGCCAGGGAGATTTTGTCTCTATAGAAGTCTCTATAGAAGACTTGCTTTAATGTGTTATTGCTACCTAAAACAATAATGTTTGGTAACAAAGATAGCAGGCAAATTCCCCATTACAATTGAAAGGACTCACATAGAGCCTTCTACCAGAAACTATAGTAGATGGCGTCCCAAAAGCTGCTTTGGAAGATACTAGAATGACTGACGCCAGTCAGTTTGCATCTGCAAATTCATATGCACAGAGAACTCTAAGAGCAAAGAAAACAGGAATCTCTAATAACAGAGATATGCCAAGCTTTCCTACTAAGGGTGGTGCCCCAACGTCCCATGAAAAATACCTCACTGTTCCTGATTTCACTAGGAGTAAATTATTTGAAGACCAGAGGAATTACAAAAGAAGCATTTCACTAAACTATCAGTCATATTTAGAGCTGACACCCTATAAATAAATCTCTTGAGCAGAGACGCTCTCCAGTGAGCTTGAATGATCAATTATACTTTGATTGAGTGAAAGTAACTTTTTAATATATGACCTTGCCAAAAGGCAATTTATCAGCTAGTCCGTTACTGAAGATAGGAGTGAAGATTCTCAAATAATCATTATTCATAAGGAACATTCTATCACAAGCATCTGTAATTCTTTGGTTCTTTTTTTTTTATTATTAGTTCAGTGGTCAGTATTTATTATGCAGTGAAAAATTGAATACGTTGATGATGGAATCTTGAATGAAGATTTTGTAGTGTTAATTATGGTGGTTATCTGTCACTGATGTCTACCTAAATTTTTGTCAATGCTCTCTCCAAATGGTGATAGTTGTCCACATTGTGCATTCTGCCTCCCCAGTCCAAAACCTAAGAAACCACGTTTCCCGGCACTCCTTGTTGCCAGAGTACTGACATGTGACTTAGATTTCATTAATCAGATACGTTTTAATGAAGCTCTGATTTGATTGGCTACATAAGAAAACAGGGAACTGACATCCATGCTTTCAGGCATGAGTGTCCCTGAGTTTGAGGGTGAGTGAAGCCACTTCTGGAATCACAGCATAGACAGCGTAATTTTGGGTGGTCACCGATGGCCGCAGTACCTTCTAGATCACAGTAGAAACAGCATAGGTCTGAGGTTAGGTAAGGCAGCTGCCCCCTTGACGGTTCTTCCTGTGCTCTTTAGTTTTTACTTTCTTTTATTCTATTCACTCACAAATGCTTACCTCATATAATTCCTATTTAAAGACGTCATTTTGTGGAATAAGGTTTATCAATACCAGTCTTTTTTGCTGGAATGTCAAGCCGTTATTGACTTCTGGGCCTATCCTGGTATATTATAATGAACATGAGCCATGTTTTCTTACTTTCTGGTAATTCAGTTTACAATATTGAAGCTCAGCTTAGTTTCAAAGTGCCAGATGGCAACTAATTGCCAATAATTTATTAAGCAAATACCATGTAATATACAGAACTAGAATATGGAAATCATAAACAGAACTAGAATGTGGAGATCATAATCTGGGGCCATGTTTTTAAATGTATACGGATTACATATTTCTATGGGGATAATTTTCTAAAATGATGCCCAAATATCTTGCAAGATGCTCAGCACTGGAGTTTTTTCTCAGTACTTTTTTGTTTGTTTTACACAGTTATATCCAAGCTTCGGGAGGCAGTGTTGAATTCCGGTACCCTGAATTTTCTGGTCCTGCACATCCAAAATTTTGCTTTGCTATCGCTTTGGTGTTACTTTTGGATGCCTTCTTTTCTTTCCTGACCCAGTTAATCACCAAGTTCTCTCAGTTCTACCCCCAAAAGCCTATGGCGTTCATGGACTTTTCTCAATTTTTCCTTCCACTGCCCTCGCCACGGCCAACCCCATCTCCACCGGACTGCCCTCTGATTCCCCGCCTGCCCTGACTCTATACACACCGGCTGAAATTACCCTCCCTTGCTTTTGTTAAAGCCCCTGGATCGCTTTTGTGAGCGTCCGTCATGGGAAACCGCGCTAAGACGGACTCGGGAGGTTTCGGCAGGGGGAGCTCTCAGGCCCCATCGCCCTAAGTCCACTGCAGACCCAACCGGAAGAGATGAACTTCACCTTCCACAGACGTGACCTTGCACGCGGAGGCGACTCCACTCCCTCGGAGGGATCCCCGCAGGACCACAGCTCCGCCGACGAGAAGCCACGGCACCTCGATCCCCCCGTAGTTTCCTGCCACGGACTTGGGAGGCACCTAACAGCCTTCCCGGTGTGCCCCCTTTCTCCCTAAAAAGGCGCGCCTCTCCTT